TTACAGCTTCCATATGACTATCAAGTTATATTAAGAACAAATCATGTAATCGCTCTTAAACTCTCCTTTCACAAAAGGCCCATCTCCAAATTATCACATGTACTTATTAACTTGGCCAAGTGCATTCAGAGTCTCCATAATCTTCCCCCCTTATGAGAACAGCAATCATGTTCATCTTCTCAACTGACCCCACCTCTGTTTCTGTAGTATGTACAGCTATAAAACAACACAAGCACTTCCAGAGACATACATGAGTTGGTTTTACTGTCAGGACTTCACTTGACAACAGCCAAACATTCCTCCACTGCCAGCCAACTATGAATTCAAAGCACACTGGGGCTCAAGGTTGCACAAGACATTTTTCTACTTCAAAAATGAATGGAAATGTGTTGATTTTTCACCATTTTCCCCACAAGCAGCACAGAATGACACCAACAGCATTACTGCATGTATAGAGATGTAGTTTAAGGGTGCACTGAGCTAATTTGCACTAGAGGTTTCACTCAAGATGCTCTACAAACATATTTCCTTCTCAGTTCTGAACTACAGCAGGCAGCAAGAGGATTACTAGTTGCAGGTACCTGCCACCCTCCTGCATTTGAAACAAGCAGCATTAATGCTCATCTACCTTACAGTAAGAGCAGTAAACAAGTTTCAAGTCAGAACACAGCTCTTTCTCACCCGCTGTCTGCAGCACTCACACGGCAGCACACCATCAGCATTGAAACCTTGTGACAAAGAAAACTCCCTTCTAAACACTTGCACACATCAGGAAAACGATGCAGGAAACAGCTGTCCCACAGAGCCCTATGGAAAACGCTCTTCCAGAGTCATTCCCCTGCTTTGGAAGAAGGAAGAGCTCATGGAGACCCTGACACTTGTGGCTGCTGATTAAATACACAGATGAAGCCATCGCAATCGCTGGCCACTAGCCCTCTGCAAAGAGCCTGCCCTCCTGCAATAGGTGCCTCCAGTTCATTTGCTTACTGACTCCTTGAGTCATTACATTTTCAGGCATTTTATTATCATCAGTGACCAAAAGGTTTCAGCAAGAACTGAAGCCTGGCACTGCATCCCTGCTCTGCTACAAGCTGCACAAAGGGAAGCTTTAGTATGCTCTTTAGGAAAGTCTCCTCATTTCCCTCGCAGTTGTGACTGCACACAGCAAATACCTTAGGAAAAGCTTTTCCAAGTGGGTCTTCCCAGACTGATGTTCCAAAAGGAGAGTGCCATTTTGCTATTAATGTTCTGATCCTGGAGATAGCTCATACCTGTGCACACAGAGCCATCCTGGGACACACAGCACCAAATCCCTGATGTTCACGTCTACATCTGGATATGACTACCTAAACTACACATACAGGATGCTGTGCAGAGAGAGGGCAAACTAAACTCTTCCAAGACAATGCTCTCCTTCCTCATGACACTCAGCAAAAGGAACATATGCTTAAGAATAAATGTCACAAATGTTACGCCTTTAAAAGAGCCAGAAGATAAAAACTGTATTTCAACAACCACTTTGCCTCCACAGGATCGGTATTAATGGCATCCTCAAAATAAAAGAGGGCAAGAAGGTGGCTGTAATCTCATTTTCACCATCACAGACGTAGGTTCTGCTGCCACCTGCCACATGAAAACATGTTGAGTCACACTGTGAGAGCAGTTACTTGTTTAGAGAGGACATTTGGGGAGAACTCTTAAGGACTTCTGCCTCATGGCTACTACCAGGGGCTGCATAAGACAGACATTAAGGAACTCAACTATGCCTAATCCCAGAGACCCAAAATCTAATCAGAAGGGCTTTATTTCTCTGGAAGAACACATTAGTTGATAGGAACAACTTTGCATATATAGAATATTACTGTACATGTGCATATAGAATAAAGTTTTCCAAAGAGATAATCTACTGATTAATACTGTAAGGGCAGCTATGCTGAAAGCCAGTGCAGTGAAGAACCAAACTCATAGATCTCAAAAGTTAAATCAGAACTAAAGTCTTGTCTGTAACAAGTTTATCCCACCCTGACTACCTACAGCTTTAGAAACCATACCAGAACCTTCTAACTTTGGCTTTAAAGGCCCCAGTCACCATGAAGAGTCCCCTCCTTGCTCCTTTCTTTGCAATACCCTTATTTACAAGTTAATAATTTAGAGATCAGCTACTAGAGTGCAGAGGTGTTAAATCCATACACAAAGTCACCTTATAGTACAAGGTAGAGGCATATAGTCTTGTCTAAGCTAAAAAGCAGTCTCTGCTCCAGCCTGCAGCAGTAAGGGTGAGGTTCAGAGACTTCTTACGCACAGCTTGGCTATTTATACCCCCGCATGCAGTGGGCTGTGCAACATTTTCAGGTTCTCTTTGCAGTTTGTACTTCAGTTAATTCTGTCCTGATCACATCCAACGCTTTCCTGGAACATCACCAGCATCTTGAAAGATCTGCATGTAATTACATTCAAGCTCTCCCTGTCGCCGCTTGTCAATAACTGGCTTGTTTTGAAAGGAACTTTATACTTCAGTGCTCCCAAGTTTTAATGAGGTTTTTAAAGCAGGTAGTGCAGCACACACCAATGCAGAGTAACCATTTCATTCGGGCTCCTAAAGGACACAGAAGCAGAGGAAAGACCCTTGGCAAAGCCACAAAGCTTTCACTCTGGATTAACCTCTCTGGCCACAGGGTGCCTCTGCTGCTCCACAAACACGCTGGAGCTGAGCAAACAGCTTCTGCTGGTTAATGCCCAGCTGTAACCCACAAGCTGCAGTCGTGCGAGCCAAAATCGATCTGCTCGGGATAAAGGTAGGTCAGTATTTGATCATCCTGAAGTGCTCTCACTAACTGGGGCTGTCAGTCCCGCAGAAGCAATGTTCACCTCGCTCAGGCAATCATCCATTTATGCCATGCTACAAGAACACAAGCTGCCAGGCTTCGCATGCACCCTGATGCAGGGGACAATGGGTTTTGATTGAACTTCTGTAACACTGATCAAGCCTGACACAACGCTCTGCTCACCAGCACCACCATCCACAAAGCTTTTGGCGTTCCTAAAGTACTGTCTGCTCGCCATGGCTCCTCCTCAGTCTAGCTGTATCTTTTGGGTTCAGCCTCATGTGAAGCCAAAGAAGTACACACAGAAGTTTATGAAGGGCTTGCTTGAGTAGAAAACTGTCATCAAAAGCACGATTCACCATCTAACTGACACAGGAGAATACACAGGGAATGAGAACAAGTGATGGGGGAGCATAACAGCATTACAATTTGAAGTACCAGAGGGCTGCATTTGGACTGATTGCATTAAGAGTACCGAGTTTAATCTCTATGGAAAACCACTTCCAGCACCACCAGCATCTCCATTTGTACCATATAAGCTCTACTTTAGTTAACAAAGCATCAAAAGTAACACATCATAAAGCCCAGCAGTGACGTAAAACTTTCCATGTCACTGGAAAACACATTAAATGGCAATGTTTCAAAGAAACAATTCCAACAGATTTCCTTTACTGCACTACATAGAGTGGATTCTCCCACCAGACATCTGATTTGCTGTCCACTGAAGCATACAACATCTAAACAGCCTCCTCAAGTTACAGGTTACCTAAAAACCCTGTGTTTGCATGGTCCTCCCTGAAGCCAAGCAAAGCCCAGCCTCCAACATGTTGTTCCTTCCTTTCTAAGTGATTAAACACTAATATGAGGTTATAAATTCATTTCTAACGTGCCAGGACTACAAAAGTCACACAAAGGACATGATCAAGAGGCAATACAATGCAATCAAAGCAAGCAGACACTCGAGCTCTGAAAAAGACACTTCACTAACTCTTTTTATTTCAGAGTCCAAATCATCTTTGCACACACAAGACTTCAACAGGAGTCATGTAGCCACAGTGGGTGCAGCAACGAAACCCCACTGGCATGAACAGCTCTGGACATAAAGCTTTGCAGTCTCATATCAATATTTACATCTGCCAGTTTGCACTGACAGCAAATGCAGAAAGATTCTGCTGCTGGGTATGTGTATCCTTCATTCCACTTGACAGTGCAGCACCAAGCCCTTACCTTGTTTATAAAGAAGGCTTTCAGCTAGGAAGAATACATATTCTATACATATGCATCAGCTTGCTTTCAAAAGGATGTATGCTAAAAAGGCCTCCCTAACATTCAGATCTAGGCCTAAAACGCATTTAGAAGTGAAAGAGCTGCACTGCAGAGGGAGCAGACAAGCTGTTGGGAGCAATCCTCTTTACATTTACACATCGACAAACACTGCACACAGAAGCATAGGTGCGTGTAAACGAAGACAATCTGCTTCAGATATCCTACACCCAAGCCAGAATCAGGTTGCAGAGGTTGGGATGCTTGTGATGGAAGACCCAGTCCTGCCAGTACCCGCACGGATTCCCACTGGAAGAGTACAGCAGCAAAACCAGAATATCCATTGAAAAAGGGCAGATGAGCACTGCACTCCTGTTGAAGCTGTTCCCTTGGTTTCTCTGAGGTACCCACTTGCCTGGCAGGTTTAAGTGGAAGCTCCAGAGAACAGGAGATAGGCAGGCAGGTATTCAGGTTTAAATGGGGTATCAGATGCAGTTACACAGTACTCAGCCTGATTCTGGGATGAGGGGGCACGTAGGTTGTAACACGTGCTCCCCTTCACAGACACACTGCAATACAAGACTCAAGACACAACATTACTATCACCTCAACACGTGCCAGTGTCCTGCCTCCAAGTTATTCAGCTGCTGAGGATGGAGTTGTAGGATAAAGCAATATACCATGACTAGCTACAAATGAGCAAAGAACAACCTTCCCCACTTCCTCACAACCCCCCAAATCAAATCCATCATCCTTAATTCCAGACAACCCACAATTTTCCCCTATAGGTAATCACTGCATGATTGGGTTTTATTTTTTATCCTCTTCCCCCCCTCCCAACCTTTTCTTTCAATCTTCCATTTGCTAACTCAAAATCCAAAGTCAGAAAAAATATATATATTTAGTCAGAAGTATGTCAGTTACATTTTATTAACCTACTCCAAGGGAAAAGCTTCAGGGATTCACCATACAAGTATAAAACCCCTTGCAAACACCTAGGGGTTACTATATTACTTCATCCCAGCAGTCAATCAATGCAGTAAAAAAATGAAAATACTGAAAGTGGATGCTTTTCCCCTCTTCCATATGTCCAGTGATTGCTCTGTTACAGCGTGATGAGGTCCACCAGGTTGCCTTTAGGAGGGGTCATGTTGTCTGGAAAGAAGTTGACTAGTGTGTCAAAGAGCTGAGTTCTCTGCGCATACGTGTGGTCGACATCTGAGAATCCTGGAGGAGAAAGAAAAGAGGAAATGAAGTCAGTGCTCACTGCTCCAAATGTGGAATAGGCTGGCTGTCCATGGTGGACAGATGTTCATATATTCATAGAATGGTTTGGGTTGGAAAGGACCATCAGATCATCAAGTTCCAAAGCCCCTGCCATGGGCAGGGACACCTCACACTAAACCATGTCACCCCAAGCCTCTGTCTAACCTGGCCTTGAACACCAACAGGGATGGAGCATTCACCACTTCCCTGGGCAACCCATTCCAGTGCCTCACCACCCTCACAGGAAAGAACTTCTTCCTTACATCTAACCTGAACTTCCCCTGTTTCAGTTTTAACCCATCACCCCTTGTCCTGTCACTACAGTCCCTAATAAAGAGTCCCTCCCCAGCATCTTAGTAGCTCCCTTCAGACACTGGAAGCTGCTCTGAGGTCTCCACGCAGCCTTCTCTCCTCCAGGCTGAACAGCCCCAACTTCCTCAGTCTGTCTCCATACAGGAGGTGCTCCAGCCCTTGATCATCCTCATGGCCTTCTCTGGACTTGCTCCAGCAGTTCCATGTCCTTTTTATGTTGAGGACACCGGGACTGCACACAGTACTACAAGTGGGGTCTCACAAGAGCAGAGTAAAAGGGCAGGATCACCTCCTTCAACCTGTTTGCTGTTTCTACCTCTGCTAACAACCAAGGCCCCCAGCTCTCTGGCCTACTACTATGAGCATAGACACACACACAGACCAGGCCACCCCTAGCCAACGCTGAAATCAAACTATATGAAAAGTAATAAGCAAACGGCTGTCAAGCTCATTGACAGCCCTGAAGAACTGCAGGAAGCAAGAACCCTCAGGAGGCTGCTCTGATGTCCCAGAAAACAAAATCTCTGCAGCTATTTTTATTTGGTGCCTCATTTCTTCTGTCCTCAGGCTTTCCTCATTATCTTCATGACTGTCTCACCTAGAACTGGTCCTCGTCTTGCATGCAGTTCTTCTCTAGACAAGCTCTGCTGACGGCAGGAGCCCCAAATCAGAGCTGCGTCTTGGCACAAGGGTGCTTGCTCTACAAACCCCTTTTGTGAAGTGCTGCCTCTCAAAAGGGGAGGGTTTAGTCTGGAGTATTGCTTATCCAAATCCTCATGCTAAAACCATCAACAGCAAGAACAATAGAGCAGGCTATACAACTATTTCCTCTGCTTTGTATGACTTCCATCAGTGGGATCTCCAAGGAATGCTTATTAATTCAGTGAACTCACTCTTCAGTTAATCAGAGTCAAGCAAGTTAATCAAATCAAGGAGGGCTTGGGGTTTTTTTGGTTGTATTTTAGAAGCACCACTTGATATACGTATCTGTAGAGCCAACCTCTGAACAAAGTGTTGTGTCAAGAAGTAACCCATCTTTCAGAACACTTAAAACTAGGGGAGAAAACAACGTTCCAAAACTTAGGTTTTCTTCCTTTAAGGAATCCATCATATCACATCAACTAAATAAGACCTTCCAAATCACACGAGCTCAGCTGAGCTTCCTCATCCAGCTGGGCTGACAGTGGAGTGGGCTTTTTCCTTCCATCAATTGCTTAGATTGGGAATTGCTGGTTCATTAAAAACTGAAGGCATCCACGCTCCTTAGCAAGAGCTCGGTGACTTGAGAACACATTATAAGACATAAATTATGCTTATAGCCTTCCTATAGCTTGCCCAGGATTAATCTCTCGACTGTTCAGAAGAGTTAACTGGACAGAAGAGTGAAACAAATTGTGGCTTTGGCTCAGAGCTCCTGTTTCCAGCCCTCCACACCACTGTTCTCTGCGCTCTTGACATTCTGCCCACAGAACTAGTTCTGCAAAGAACAGGGTGAACCGAACTGCTCCAGGACCTGCAGTTATCACAGCAAACAGAGCTGTAGCCACGCTGTGACATTCCCAAGTGACAAGACAGGAGGGGCATTATTCTGACCAAAGCTGCTGTTTATTTGGGGGAGGCATCAGTTGTAATAAGAGCCACAAAATGAGCCCAGGAGGCACAGGTTTAAAACCACTGGAGGCAGAGGGGCACTGGGCACTAGTCAGTATAAATACTCTCTCTAATGCCTATGCAGTGGCATTTTGCATTTTCAAACAAAAAAGGGCTGATGTGAACTGTAACATTTGATATGAAAACCAGTCGAAACTAATAGCAATTATCGGAGGGAACACAGTCCAATTCTTCTGATACACAATACTCACCGAGAGTGGTGAAATCCGAGCCAGACTTAAATAACGCTGAGGCAAGAAGCTGAAACTGCAGGAGAGGAGGGACAAAGGAAAAAGTGTTATTAACAGCACACAGGAGAAAAACTAAAAGATTCATAGATGTCAGAGTGGTTTTGGAGTTGCTGAGTTCTCTTTGCACAGTCCTTGGAGCTACTGTGCCATACATGTGAATAACTGCAGCAACTTTCATACGAGCAACACAGTTTGTCACCTTGGCAGAGCAAGCCGGATGGTTTTTCCTAGAATTAAGAGCAGTGTTGAAGCAATGAAAGGTACTTGACTGGGAGCCCTAAAAGCTGGTTTTGCATTTACTCTTTTTTGCCTCTCTGGCAGATACGAGAGAGCAGGATTAAGGTAGAGCCTCTTGCACACACAACCACAACGTGGTACAGCCCCAGCAAGGATTACACAACACAAGAACAGGGTAACTGCTAGAGTGCAGAACCAAGTTCCTGAACACAGAGGAAGCTTTATACGGCCCCAACCTTTCTGAACTGCCAGAGAACTCGTGCCACAATGTCTTTTTAACTAAAGAAACCCCATCATAATAAATACTTTTACTGGTAGCTGGTGCAGTGCAGTGTTTTGACTTTCAGCTCGGGAACAGAGCTGATAACAAGCGATGTTTAGGTTTGGCCAAGGACTTTGTGAGCCTCATGCTCTGCCAGGGAGGAGGGGGAGCCAGGAGGAAGCAGAGACAGGACACCTGACCCAAGCTAGCCAAAGAGGTATTCCATACACACAGCACGTCATGCCCAGGATGTAACTGGGAGGGAGCCGGAAGGGCTGGGGGACTGCAGGGTTGGAGGAGGTATCGGTCGGAGCTTGGTTGGGCCTGGGGGGCGAGTTATCGGTCGGCTGGTGGTGAGATGATGTATTCTCTTCCCTTGTTATTTCCTTTATCATTATTATCATTGGTGGTAGCAGTAGTGATTTGTGTTATACCTTAGTTCCTAAACTGTTCTTATCTCAACCCGTGGGAGTTGCATTCTTTTTGATTCTCCTCTCCGTCCCTCCGAGAGCAGGGGGAGGGCAAGAAAAGGGGGGGAAGTGAGCGAACGAGTTACCTGACTGGGTTTAAACCACGACAACTGGGAACATCAGAATCACAAACAAAACCATTTTAGGTAACGCATTCATAGTTTTATTCTCCTTTCATGTCCTACTGATAGTGAACATGGAATCTTCCTCTGCCTCTGGCTGCTCTTGTCAGTTACCCACATAGAAACAAAGCTTTGTGCTTTGTCATGTTTCCTTCAAGAATTAGAAGATTCCTTAAAGGCTTATAATCTTTTGCCACTTCTGTGCATGTCTTTACAGCACACAGCCCGAAGGAAAGAAGAAGGGGGGGGGGGGAAGAAAACAGAAGAGAAGCAAATATGTTCAGAGAAGGAGTGGGAAGGACAGCCAGGAATTACACAGCCATCGGTTTAATTTCAATTGCAAGACAAAATGGGAACCCAGACAATTTGCAGGCATGTAGGAGTGAGGAAGGTGACAAGTAGCAGCCAATGTGGATTTGGCAACAACAAGTTGTATCACATCAAACTGAGTTCTTCTGCAAGGCAGCAGGCCCTATGGATGGGACCTGGCAATAGACGTTGTACATTTTGACTTTCATAGGACTTCTGATGCTTTTATACGGTATTTAAGACAAATTATCATAGCCTCATCTAGATTAAACTAACAGGGAACAGCAAGTGAGGCAAATGACTTTACTGGTGGTAGGCATCACTGGCTTGACATCAAAATGGAGCCATGAATCACTTGCGCCCCAGGGTCAGCATCACTTTGGGTTTTCAGTGAGAACCTCCTGAACAGAACAGGACACATTCACTGAGTCCACAGACCTCACACCACACTCAGACAGACTGACAGCATGGCAGCAGACAGGCTGCAGACTGCTTCTTTATTTCATCCAGCTTATAAAAACACAGAACCCCAGCCTGGTTTGGGTTGGAAGGGACCTTAAAGCTCATCCAGCTCCAACGCCCGCCACGGGCAGGGACACCTTCCACTAGAGCAGCTTGCTCCAAGCCCCTGTGTCCAACCTGGCCTTCAACACTGCCAGGGATGGGGCAGCCACAGCTTCTCTGGGCACCCTGTGCCAGCGCCTCAGCACCCTCACAGGGAAGAGCTTCTGCCTAAGAGCTCATCTCAGTCTCCCCTCTGGCAGGTTAAAGCCATTCCCTTTGGCCTGTCCCTACAGACCCTTGTCCAAAGCTACAATGATGGCTCAAGGCGCAGTTCACCAGGGCAAAGTGCAAATCACCCTGAACAGGAAAAAACAGCTATACCAAACAGATTGGGGTGCACAGGCTCTGTGAAAACACGTTTAGGAGTTAAAATAGATCAGCATCACCCTATAGCAAAAATGACAAATGCACAGAAAATGCATGCAATGGAGTGGGATCTTCACATAAATTGAGTACTCCTGCTGCTAGGCTTTTAAGTCTTGTCTGCAACAAGGCAACCACTTTTGGATGCTCTCTACCAAGTAGAAATACATAAAGAAAGCACTAGGAAAATAACCAAGTGGTCTGAAACATGAAGCTCTTGTAAAGAAAGTTCAAAGGAGTCAAGGTTGTAGAACCACCACGGAATATCCAAGGAGAAAACTGCAAGAGTCACAAACGCAAAAGGTTGCTACAAAAAGGTAAATCTACACCTAAGTACAAGAAATCCCAAGAATACTTCAGCAAGATCAGTATCAACATGACACCAAGAGAAAACCCAGTGTAAAATAAGGCCAGTGGTGCACCAGAATAAGTCTGCATCTTCTGGAGAGGCTACAACATGCAGGTAATACTGGAGAGGTATTTAAGAACAGGCGAGATAGATACAGGATTGACAAACTGCACAACACGAGTAAGAGGTTGATTAAGTACCCTCTTGAGTGGGAGGTCTGGTTATATGAATCAAAGGGGACTGCAATGCTACACATGTATTTCACCACTAGCCTAACTTGGCTCCGAATCAGCAATGTACTTAACCAGATGCCCAGCATAAATAGCTCAAAAAGTTCCAATAGAACCTGTGGCTAAATCCATGCTGCTCCTGATAGCAAATGCCATGTCCCGGCCATCTTTCCATCCCACACAATTGCCTTACAGGCCTGCTGCCAACTGCCTGGTAGCACATGAAGCTGGCTCCGCTGGGATAAAGCGGATCCACATGCTCCGAGGGGTTCCCTTGCCTCCCCCAGCAACGGGGCAGCCATCCTGCTGTGAACAGAAAGCAAGCCATGCTTGAGGCTGGGGCTCAGGATGCCCAGCTAAGAGAACATATAAGCAGGATTCAGTCAGTAACTCGCTGAACTGAGACCAAAAGTCCCTGGAAAAGCTCTTTTGCCAAGTATTCCAGCCTCATCTGCACAACGCATGATGGATTTTCACGGCTACCAGTTTGCTCCCAGCTGTGTGGGGAAGCAATATCCAGTCTCCTCCTTCATTGATGACACTGCACTCCAGTTAACATTGAGGTTTCTTGTTTTGTTTGTTCTGAAGTTATATTTTATGCATTGTTTCACATTTAAAAAGCTCTTTCTCACACCGAAGTCAAGCACCTAAGTTACAGGCATCAGTTATGGACAGCACTGAGCCTAAGCTGGTTCATTCTGCATTTGCATTACAATGCCAACTAACCCCAGGATGTTCTCTCAAAGGACCCCATCTCTTTTTCCCACACATGGGATGGTTACTGCTTCCTCAAGACCAGGTTTCCCACACAGTGTTCACAGCATATATCCAATGCTTTATTTTTTCCCCTGAAGCTCAAACTCTGCTCTAAAGAAGGAATTCATTTCCTCATCAGGTTTTCCATCATATTAATTGTTATCACAATAGACGCCCTTCAAATCCTGATTAATTTTGGGCCCCCTATTTGAAACAGCCAGAACCTGATTTCTCAACACACCCAGTATTATGCAACAGCTCCTGAATTCACTTGCAAAAACTCTCAAGCAAACCACAGCTCGGATCTCTCCCATCAGGCCCCAGACTGAAAGACCTAATGAACGACCACCTAGGAAAACCCATTTGCTTAACGTCACATAGCAACACCACTACAGAGGACAGAGCAGAAGCATCCAAGTGCTCTGATCACAGCACCACCTGTTTTCTGCTGACAATCCCTCTGCCTCACTGCCTTCATGCATTCCAAATGAAGTCTCCTGTTCAGAAGACAACAGGTCCCTTTTGTTATACAACTAACTTCTCTTTCAGAGCCCAAATGCACCTTCTGAACTGAGGCCAGGGTTCCTTGGAGATACATCTATCTGGATAACTAATATAAGGTTATATTAGTTATATACATATACTAGTTATAGATATCTGGCTAATAGAAAGTTAATGAATATAATCAACCACATTCAGAGAGAGGCCAGATTAAGACATAAGTAATACTAATTCTGGCACTTCCCAAGCTATGGCCTTTGTGTTCCCAACAATACTGTTCTTTTATCAGCTGTGTGCACTTTAAGCTGTTTCTACCTACAGCAAAAAAGCAATTCTGCCATATAGAAGTCTTGGTATATTTGCTGCATGCCTCTGCCAAATGAAATAGTTAAAGGGGAATGAGTAACTCCTGCTTGGGATACCTGGCAGGTTGGATGAATCAGACATAATTACCCCTCTGTAATATACAGCAAGTGCTCAGATCACAGCATAAAACAGTTCCTCAGCTTTGACCAGTTCTGTCGTAGCACAGCTCAAAGCAGCAAAGAGAGGCTCAAATCCTTTGAGGAGGGAGCCATCCCTCGCTGAAGTTGGGAGGGCTGAATGCTGTTTCTGAAAGGCTCCTCGTCTCCAAAACCTCTCCTCCTGCAGCACTCAGCCTCTGAAGCTTTACAAAGAATCACAGCAGGACACAAAGAGGAGAAGCATGCTTTTCTTAGCTCCTTCCTAGAACTACTTTTCCCATTTGGGTTTCAATTTTCCCAGAAATATCAGTCTAATGCAGACTCAAACAATACTTTTGGGCCCCGCTGGCTTTATCTGGCAAATTTATTGGAGACAAGGTCTTAAGAATGGAAAGTATGAAGCAGCCTTGAACAGGGGCCTCCTGCCTCAGTCTACAGGCTAGTCAGGCCTCAAATTGGCCTCCAGGTCCTTGCTCTTTCTCCTACTATATTCCAAGAAAAACATACTGCAAGTTCTGCTTGCAGTCATGGGATTGAGCTTCACCAGGAGCTGAATCTCAATGTACAAACTCATCTTGCTCTCCTTTACATGGTCAGCACTAGCCATTTTTTGTACTATCTTCATTTCTCCTAGAGCCCACTCAGCAGGGTATGTCCAGGAATGATGACTCTAGCGCTCAAGGAACACCATCTATAGCCTTGGAGAGTGGTGAGGCACAGGAACAGGCTGCTCAAGGATGCTGTGAACGCTCCACCCCTGGCAGTGTTCAAGGCCAGACTGGACACAGGGGCTTGGAGCAACCTGCTCTAGTGGAAGGTGGCAGGGGGTTGGAATTGGATGAGCTTTAAGGTCCTTTCCAACCCAAATCCTTTATGATTCTATGATTTCAAGCAGAATCACAGTCAAAGAGAATTTTTGCATTTATGGCAACAGCAGAGGCAGAGTTGGCATAGAGCCTATGGCCACTAAAACATGTACTGCATGATACCCGTTACTTGCAGTCATCTACTTCATTTGGAATAATAAAACCCCCAGAAATAAAACTATAATCCTATTAACATACCTAAAATTCATAACAAAGGAGGAAAAATCTGGGAGTATGTTCCTACTATCAATCATTTGTGCTACTTTAAACAAAATTGGTTACTAACACCAAAGCAAGATTCAAGAACAGCCTGTTTGTTTTCTTTGGCACCCAACTCAAAACAGCTGAAGGGACTTGCCTAACTAAGTTAGAATAAATTCTCTTACAAAGCAAGTCAGCCTTGCCTCAAAGTGCAATTCTGCTTGTAATATAACATTACCCATATACCAGTCCATAAAACATGAAACCACATATACCAGCCTCCAAAAGCACAACAGCATGAAGTCTGGGATAAACCTATTCAACTTGGTCCTTCCCAAGTTTAACAGTTGGCCTAAAGAGAAGGGAAACAACAGGCAGAAACCAATTCCCTTAGGATTTGCCATGCTAAGAAGCCTTACACCATTCCAGCCCTAACTATTCTATGATTCAACAGCTGTAACCAGCCCAGAACAAGCCGATTAGATATACAGCCTTTGATATTAAGACGATCTCAGATATAACTAAAGACAGTGCATGGAGGTGCCTGGGCTGAGATACACAATCAAACTGGTGCTTGAAATTTGATATGGAATCCAAAAAGCCTGCGTCAGTCCTTTGGAAAGCACAAGAGCTATTTGAAGACGTGATGCCAGAGCAAAAAGCCAACTCAATGTGATAACCGGAAGGTAAACTGACGTCAACTGGAAATACACCCAGTCAGTACCAGTGCAGAGGCTGGCTCTGGGCCATATCCCTGCCAGATCTGCTCCAGTGTAAAAAACCTGGGAAGTTAAAGCTCTTGGAACGGCATAATTAAAAATGTTATTAAAAAATGAGCAAGAAAAACAAGACACAAAAAAGCCTCCCGGCAATTGTGACATGGTTTTAGGAGACCACTGGAATGGAAGCTTGAGCGGTACCCTTGATGTGACAGACCAGACAGAAGCTATTGAATTTTGTTTGGATCAGGCACTAAGCCTGCAGAGAAATGATTCACAATATATTCCCTCGGCTGTATTGAGCTACTCATAGGCTACATCATTAATGTGCACAATACTAGTATGCTCTGTGAAAAGGGATAATATGTATTCTATTTCTACATTATATGATAAAACTACTAGTTTCCCTCAAAATCTCAGAGGAGCCCATGCAGTCAGGTAAATTCTTCATTCTTACAAGGTGGCCAAGGTAAATGCTCCACGCTGAGTTGGGTAAATCAAATGTAGAGTATTAAAAGGCTTTCCTGTGCCAGATGTTCACAACGTGGAGTCTTTATGGCAGTGCCTTTGGTTTGCTGGTGACAGCAGGCAGCACAATCTAAAAGGAGAGGAGCTTTCTGATCACACCCCAAATGTTTCCTGTTCAGGCAACAAAAAGGCACAGCAAGCCATGAGACACAAGGTCTCTTTAGGAGTAACTGGCCAAAGAGAGACATGGCTTTCATAGGCTACCAGCACACATTGAGAAAACACAGGAGATCAGAGGACATAGGACATGGCCTTAAGAGTGGGTGAGAGGGAGAAGAAGGGATGAAGAGAGCAGCAGAATGGTTATTTTATGTTAGAGGTTATTACAAGTTCAATTATAAAGAGGAAAGTGTTACCACACTGGGGAGATGGGGCATAATTGGGGCATGCTGCATAGGAGTGATAAAAAAGTACCTCTTTTTCTACCTGAAATAATGCAGGATTGTGTGTCATTTACCTTCCCCACGCTAGAAAGGTCTAGACAGGATGTGAAACTACATGTTCCCCAGAGAAGCTGAGGCTGCCCCATCCCTGGCAGCATTCAAGGCCAGGTTGGGTGGTGCTTGGAGCAAGCTGCTCTAGTGGAAGGTGTCCCTGCCCGTACTGGATGAGCTTCAAGGTCCCTTCATTGTTCTGTGAGTCTATGAACTGAACTGAGAAGCCATTTAACAGAGACCTTACAGGCACAGCACCTGGATATTTTACTGGATTAGATTATTATAAAGACTAACCAGAATTTATGACCAGTGTGATCAGTTCCAAGGTACTGACATGAGTAAATACTTTCTTCTTAATTCCTCCAACCCCACAACTCTACACAGTGCATATGCAAGATGCATTTTCTCCCTCAAAAGGTTTTAGTGTCTGGATGAGGATCATTTCTTTACCTAAAGTAACAATTTAGAACGATCAGATTAAGTGATTTAATGCAGAGACTCAGCATGGAGTAACAGAGCCCATTCCCCTATCACAGCTTTATAGAAGGAACTCTCAAATCACTTCCCGAGTCATTAACACAAGTAGAGAGTCAGAACCATGGTCTCCTCTTCCTCCTCTACCCTGACCATTTGGGCATCTAGTCAGCTGCCCCAAGTTCCATGTGGAAATTCATGGCAGAGTCCAATCAAACCACCTTCTCTGACACTTCTCACTCTTTCTGTAATCCTTTGTGTAAAGCGACGCGCACTGCGGTCAGGGAATCAAAACAGGAAATGGGAACAAATGCCTGGAACAAATAAAAGAACATGCCTACTGGATAATAGAAAGGCAGAGGAAACAAGCTTTGAAGGCTAGAAAGCAATGCATATCCACAATCTGCTTCCAGAAATACTTATCAACTAGAGAAAAAGCCTCTTTTCCTCCCCCAGAGCTATTTAATATTGACAAGCCAAAAGGCAGCGTGAGTTTCTTACTCACTTTCTACTACACAACCAACTACAGACTCATGACATTTCAGAGTTTACATTTCAATCAAAGCTCCCAAAATACACACCAGTACCCTGGAATTAAAACAAAGGCCTAGTTCTTCACTGTTTTGAGTGCAAAAGCTATTTTATCTGGAACTGCAGTTGCAAAAGTGACTGTTTGCTACAGCACTATGATCTTCAGTGCAAAGAAACAGATGATACAACGAAGTGTCACACACCTGTAGAGCTTTTTCAACCTGAATAAAAACCAAGGTTCAAGAGGCCCAAAACTCTCACATGAATTTACTTTTCTTTATAACTAAACCAGGGATCATTCATCATTACCTCTTTTGTTTCCTCAGGGTCTGAGTGATCCACAGTTACATATAAGTCATTCTGCAGGTACTTCAGTGCACTAAGAGGCTCAGTCTGAGCTTTTTCTTCGAACCTGAAAAGAGGAGACAGAAGACTTGAACACAGCCATTTCCTCCAGGACTCCTACTATTTGTACAGAGAGCAAAAGCCATCTAAGAAAACCTTCAGCCCAATATTTCCAAGCAAAACAACTTTAATGGCAGCTTGATCCTGTATTCCCTGAAGAACATGCCTTCCAGACAAGCTGAAATACAGAGGAAGGGCTTTTGGGGAGGTGTACAGGAGTTATAAGGGTGAAGTATCACACTCTTACGAAAAGTATTCGAAGGAGTATGTACAGCAACTTCTTCATTGGTGCTGAGGCACTGGCAGAGGCTGCTCAGAGAAGCTGTGGCTGCTCCATCCCTGGCAGCGTTCAAGGCCAGGTTGGATGGAGCTTGGAGCAAGCTGCTCTAGTGGAAGGTGTCCCTGCCCGTACTGGATGAGCTTCAAGGTCCCTTCCAACCCAAACCAGTCTGGGATTCTATGACTGATACAGAAATATAAACCATTTAGTACAATTTGCTCTCCACAGACAGAGTAAGGTATGAGTAGCACCCCATGTGAGGAGAACAGCTCAGACACAGGCAAGCCTTGAGCACTTCTGTCCCAGGAGTATTTACATTCCTGACCATGCAGAAGCGTAACTGGAAGTACAGGGATGGCGACAGCTCCCTGCTGCTGGCAAACAAGAGAAAAAGGGATGATGTGGGTGAAACCCCCAGATTCAATGAACACTGGGCCTAAATACTCTCACTTTCAGGAAAAGCACATGTACATGGAAATCCTATGCACCAACAGCTTATTTCCTCATTTTCTTTTAATGAACAGAAATTATAACTCCTATGAATTCCCTATGAAGTTAACAGAGCTGAAAGTGATTCTGGATTCATCATCCTCAGTGAGCAGAGCTCCTTCCCTGCAGCTCTGAGGTGGGTGCATAAGCCTGGAAAGGATGAGGTTTAAAATGATCTCTGTTTTTCTCCTATCACCTATCTGCTGAGTGCAGTATCACACTGTCATCCTCTGAATCATCAATACACAGAATTAAACCTTTCCACGAAAACAGCTCAGACACTTTCAGACTGCAGAAATGAGGACCCTAAAAACCGCATTCTCAGTTACTTAACTGCCTTGCATCAAGTGCATTATAGAAACACAAGGTATTTTATACATAATATATTTCAGTTACCTGTAAGAGGTTGTAGCTTGTCAAACTGAAGAAAAAGTCACACTGAATAGAGTTAATCATGTTACGTTTTCATCTGGGTCATCTACTTGGTTGTTTATAATGCAGTGGACATTTGTAGCCCAAATTTGGTACCACCTAAAGATGCAAGTGCATTTAGGCAGTGCACAAAGACTATGCCTATTACTTGATGTACATGACATTTTGGTAGTTAAATATTCACATAGATTTTCTTAGATGTTATCACCACGATCCAGAGAGCTGAAGTAGCTTAAACAAAGGGACCCACTGACACCTCACTGCTCTTCTTCACTATGGCTTGACTGCTATAAACAAGTTAATAGGCCAAACAGGGCTCCAGCAAATACAGTGGATTTGCAAGTCAAGTACCTGTTCTGGCACCTAGAGCTTGAGGGAATGCAGATAATGGGCAGCCAAGTGACTCTACAGCAGTTCAGCTCCAGCCCTGCCAGGCACATGAACTCCATCAAAGCACCCATCATACCAGCCCCTGGGCTGGTCGTGTCTGGCTCCCTCCTATGGACCCCAATAAAAGGGAGTATGGTGCATAAACCCCAAACTTCTGCCAGATAACATGCAGCAACATCTCCTTTCAGTGCAACTTAAGGAAGTAATAACTAAGTCATCCAGAGCTGTCTCTGGAGGCTGTACAGCTGAATATGTATACAACCATATGTGGTTTAATAAACCTCCCAGATTACTGAGACAGACCTTCATTCATTCCTGTAGGTATTCTCATCTACTGCATGGCTAATCTGCAAAAGGCCTCATCAAGCCACAGTGATTGTGAGTTAGGTAAAGCAATTTGCTTGCTGCCTCAGAAGTAAAATATCATCAGTGAAAGCTAACCTCCAACACTTGGCAGAACCCGATAACAAAGTATTCTCACCAAGAATGGAGAAAGAGCTATTTACTGCCTTCAAATCATTTGCTGGGTCTTGAAAGGCTGGCTGACTGCTGCAATTTCTTGCCTAATGCAACACCAGAAGTTTGATTTTAAAAAGCTGTTGCCCTAAATAGCAAATATAAGGCAGCTCTGAAGCAGCCACAGTACAGGAAGCGTCACAGCGTAGCTGAATTCCGCATAAGTGAGATCTTTCAAGTGATTCTGAATGAGAAACTCTGATGACCTCACCATGGTTGAGTCTCAGATGTGCAAAGGCATCCAGCCCCCAGACTTCATTAGCATCCTTGCGAGCTGTTACTATCTCCTAGCACAGTGTTTCAGAAACACATTCCATTTCCTTGGGAGGTGACAGCACCAAAACACATGTTGATGAGCAGCAGAGTGAAAAGGGAATCTAAAAATTCCCCCATGACTCCCCACACAATACCCAGATTTTTCTAGTTTTAGAATAACATAGTAACACCAGAATGAAGTTCATCTTGTAGCTCAGCCATACCCCACTGCTTTTTATTATCATAGAATGGTTTGGGTTGGAAGGGACCTTAAAGCTCACCCAGCTCCAACCCCTGCCACAGGCAGGGACACCTTCCACTAGAGCAGCTTGCTCCAAGCCCCTGTGTCCAACCTGGCCTTGAACACTGCCAGGGATGGGGCAGCCACAGCTTCTCTGGGCACCCTGTGCCAGCGCCTCAGCACCCTCACAGGGAAGAGCTTCTGCCTAAGAGCTCATCTCAGTCTCCCCTCTGGCAGGTTAAAGCCATTCCTCCTTGTCCTATTACTAAACTTAGGTTTTTAACAAAAAAGAATCAAGAAATCTGCAGACCATTATATAACCATCAAAGGGATATTTCTCAAAGCCATTTACAAGACATTCAGGTTTTAGTAACTTTAAAAAAAAACAGACATTTTTGAAAAGAAAAGTGCAAACCCCCTTTTGTTTCTGTACCTGTGCTTCCTTATGAGGTATTTGCAGTGTCTTAGCAGGTATTCTTTTGAAGGTCGACAGAGCTTCAGAGACCAGAAGTCATCTAATCTCATCTTTGGAGAGCAGGACTTGCCAGGATTCCCTCCAAACAAGTAATGAACCTAAGCAAATGAGAAGCAGAGCAAAAAAAGTTGACTGACTGTGTACATCAAAGGCTATTTACTATGTCAGCATCTTCGGAGAGGTTTATTCTGGAGGGAGATAACTCTGCTGTGCAGACAAGCTGTTCCATCTTACTATTAGCCTTACTTTGTCCCTTAGGAGATGAAGAAACTTCTCTTAAACTGCTTACATCTTAAGATAATAAAACAGCTGCACTGCTAAAACCTCCCTCTAGCAGATTCCTGAGGTATTTACAAACAAACATCCCCAAACCATTTCAGCTCTTTCTTTAGGAAAAACCTATGAGCATGATAAACCCTTCAGCACGTAAGATAGGAGTAGAAAAGAAGGATCTGAGCCAACTCTTTTTGCCCCATTCAAAATCCTAGATGCAAACAATACTCAAACTGATGGATTACCAACCTTTTCTCCAATCTTGTCCTCAAAGACCCCAATTTCTCATTGTCACCAAAGAGGGTAAATAAAGAACCTGTATTAAGCCTGTCTTTCATTTGGGGATAAGCAGATTACACCCCTATAGTGTGAAAGGACTCCAGCAATCACACATCTTCTTTGAAAAAGAAACATTTCCATGCTTGTTAGGAAAGCTCAGATAAAAGGGACTTTGCAGACTAATGCTCTGGCTCCCATCAGAGAACTGCTGGTGAAGCTGTACTACTGAAGTACCATAGCTCAGATGAGCAGTGAAGACCATTATCTTCCCCAAAGACAAGGGTCACTGATAAAGTGAGTGGGAAGTACTACAGATGCTCAAAGTGACATGATGTTGGGAGATGACTAACAGGCCTATGTACCAAAGTGTCCCATAAACTCTACAGAGCCTTAGTTTGACTTGCAGAGAGTACTCCCATGGTCCCTAGAAGGGCAGATTTGCCTCATCTCAATACAGCAGCCTTGCTACAAGATGCCAAACACATGACCTGAGCACAAAGGAAACAGTCACCTGAATACACAGTAAATCAAAAAGACAAAATGTAATGTTAAGAACAACTCAGGATGAAAACACCAATCTTATCTAGAATTAGAAGTCACAACCATTACTGTGACTGCCTTCAGAAAAGGTTCTAGCAATGCTGAGATGCCAAACATGGAAACATTAAATATATCTTTACCCCAAATTCATTCTGCATTCACAGTAGCTCAAATGAAGCGCTCTAACACTCTTCCAGTAGTTTCAGGACACACCACCTTTGAAACGCAAGGCTAGACTTATGGGAGAGGCACATCTCAAGTGGAAGTGTTGAAAAAGGACTGTTTATTCATTCACCTTTTCCCCTTCACATCATTTGGTATTTCAAACTCTGAACTGTTGATACGAAACATGCCACAGGGGTCTTCAAATAGTGAGGGGGCTCAAGAAGTCCAAGAGGCTACCTTTCTCCACAGCTTTAAAAATAAGCACTCCAACCAATGTATTCTACATCCCATTGATGTAGGCTCTCCTTATTTATATCAGAGAAGTTGAGAAAGGTCATTGGAACAGAGGTTTCTAAAAATAAGGCTCTTCAAAACAAGCACATCAAACAGCTCTTCAGATAAAGCTGGGCAACTGCCATGATTTAGCAACCTTCACAGTAACTTACAAAATACTATTCTCAATCTCATAGTACCTTAGGGGTGGACTTGGCAGTGCTGGGGTAACGGTTGGACTTGATGATCTTAAAGGTCTTCTCCAACTGAGTTGATTCTATTCTATTCTTACACTTAGAAGTAAGCCATTAAAGGCAGAACAGTATTTACAGTCTATCATTGTGAAGACAACAAACAATACGACTTCTCCATACAGGAGCACCTAATCCTTCTTAAAAGCCCCTTTACCCCCTTGGGCTAGTTGGGTTTCCCAAAGTTGATGAACATCCCATGAAATGATAAGACTACAATATACTTGTCTTTTTCAATTCAGAGGTTAGGAAAAGGTTTCTTTCAATTGCAAAATATCTGTGACAGATTAAGTAAATGTGTCACAGTAAAATGAATTCATAGATTAATACAATTCTGGTACCTAATCCATGGGGTTTTCCTTTATTTTGGTTAACATGCACAAAGCCCTAAGTTTACTGAGCGCTCATGTACCCTATAAACCATTTTAAATCAATCTAAGCATGAACGTGTCCATTCAAGTCAGACAGTGCTAAAGAACAGTTTGCAGTACTTGCTGCTGATGTGCAGGGCAAAGAAAAGCACCTCTGGCAGAGCAGTTTGTTAACAGTGATTAGTTCCTTCAAAGAGAGTTTCTCCTAGAAACATAGGTAACTATTTGTGACCTTTTAGTCACCAACAGGTTGTGACATTAAGTCCCTGAGGATAAAGAAGGAAGCTTCAATTAAGAACAGATAAGAGCTAGCTGCCTGACAACTTTATAAAGGTTTAGTATACCCCATTGTCTGCATGTTTACTTCATGTAGGACCTATCATGGTTACTTCACATTGACACAAGTAGCTTAGCACCCGATTGCAAAAGATTAGAGTAAGTTAAAGGACAGGCACCCTCCACATTAACACTATACAAGAAGCTATATTCATCGTACCACCTTTGAAGAAGAAACTACATTTCAAGAGTAATAAGACTTTTAAACACTGTATATGTAAACTGGACCCTCATACCTTGTGCAACTCATCGTACACCAGTTGATGGGCAAACCTTGGGCAGGGCTCCTCTTCCTGAAGGCTTTTACCTGGATTCTCTTTTGCTGCTTGGTCATTCTTATAGACACAAGACCTGAAATAAAAGGCAGGAAGCAATGATTAGCAGTACCTGCAGGAAGCAGAAAAAGTTACTAAAAGACTTTAAGGTACAAATGATGTCAACTTGAACTGCCTGACATGTAACACCAAAGATTTTCTTGTCTATATATTGTCCTCTACATAGAGGACAATAGGGAACTGCATCCCTATAGTTAACACTACAAAAAACCCCATCCAACAAGCAGAGAAGGTCATCTTGGCCGAACATAATCCTCAATCACAAGCCAAACAGGAAAACAATTCCAGAAAACTCTGTGTCATGAGCTTTAGAGGTATCTTTAGATGTTGCACGATTTGCCAACAGAATTATCAGCATGAAGTATTTCTCATTATGGAGAATACCATCTTGGACACAGCAGTATGGGCCACAGACGGGAGCAAAGCTAACATTTCCAGCACTGATTTAAGCAGAATGAAGTTGTAACTGAAAACCCATTTTTATAAGCAACATTCACACCTTTCAAAGTGATTGCCCCCGCACTAAGAGAGACCCTGAATGCAAAAACGTTGCCAGCTCTGGAAAGGGACAATGGGAACCAGCTGCCAAATACAATACAGGAAATGGATATGGAAATATTTTCTCAGACTACTGGATCTAGTAGCTACCTGAAGTACCCTGATGCAGCATGGAAAGAGCTGGTAGATCTTGCATGAAGACTTCACCACCACTGTTCATGCAGCAGTTTCCTCCTACCATGCAGGCTATTAACAAGCTCAGTTTGACTGCATTTGCTGCACTGATGATGAATCCTGGCTTTTAAGACTTCGTAGAGGAAAAGCTCCTTATATTGGCTCACTTCCCCTCATCCCTCCACCTGCCTCCAATAAAGAAGTTCCTATGATGATGTCTCTCCCTCATGCGGCTTACTGCTATGGCATCTCTAAAGATCATGGGGAAAACAAGGTGCCTCAAGGGAACTCTGTTGTCTTCAACATTACCACCCCATGGCTCTAAGAGGCTGTGGATTACCTGGAAGACAGGATTGCTTTCTAAAGGAAGTCAGCACTGATGTTAGAAATAGCACCCCTTTCATCAACTTACCAGCTGTTCCTCACAATGTCATAAATCCAGAAGGAGTTCCTTACATTCTCTTCCCGCTTCTCCTTGTCTTTACTGAGCCCTGACAAGACATGGATTTCATTCAGTTCTGGATCAATGGTAGCCCTTTGAGTGAAACCTGTCATTGGAACTGACAAAAGAAAAGAGAAGTTACACACTGAAAACAATGGAGAATACTGTGAAGGTGCTGAGGCACTGGCACAGCGCCCAGAGAAGTTGTGGCTGCTCCATAGAATCATAGAACAGTTAGGGTTGGAAAGGACCTTAAGATCATCTAGTTCCAACCCCCTGCCATGGGCAGGGACACCTCACACTAAACCATCTCACTCAAGGCTTCATCCAACCTGGCCTTGAAGTGTTCCAAGTGCCATTCCTGGCAGTGTTCAAGGCCAGGTTGGACACAGGGGCTTGGAGCAAGCTGCTCTAGTGGAAGGTGTCCCTGCCCGTGGCAGGGGTTGGAACTGGATGAGCTTTAAGGTCCCTTCCAACCCATGCTCAGAGGCATGCAGAAGTCACCACGTAACCAACTTCCTTCTTGCACATGCCCTCTAAGGCAGGGTGAGAGGGATAAGAGGAAGAAAAATCATCCAGAGGCTTTCTTCCCCGTTAACGACAAGTCCAGTGCAAAATCTCTTGTTCCCTTCCCACCCGTGACTTCTGGAAGCACAAAAACCCTTCTGAAAGTTGCTATTTCCTTCGGAAAGGTACAGCTAGAGCTATGTGGGAGACTACCAGCTCAGGATTAAACTGCCTGAAGATAGAGCTACATGACCCATGCAGATGTAAACAGAGTGACTTTGTTCTTGTCTCATCTGTAAAAGGAAGCATTGATTCCAAAAAGCTTAATTGGAAAAGCTGGGAAACTCAACAAAATTCCAGATGAACTCAAGATTCCATGGCTCCCATTGCTTCCTTTAGGACGAAGATGTCAAGGAGTGGGTTGTTTTTCTTTTGTACTTTCTGAATAGTTGTGGTACAATTACCCAGCTCTTCTTCTGCTCCACCTTCAGCTTTAGAAATGTGGTGAAATCCTCAGGGTTCTAACAGTTTTCATCATAATTCCCCGAAAAAAAAAGTCAGCAAATTTGTTTGGCAAATCCTTTTTGTTTGTTGTCTAATTCCCCATTTCCTGTTTCCCTAGGCAACCATCCTTCCAAAATGGATTTGTGAAGGGCACGTGATCCTTGTTTACAGATCCTGTTTGTCTCATTCCTCTTTCTGGGTCAGTTGACAAAGGCTGGTGAAGGTTCTTGGCCTTCGCTCAAGATTTTGGCATGAAAAATGCTCACAACTCTTGTATTTTGCAAATTCTCCCCTGCAATTAGTTGTAAATTGCACACAGAGCCCAGAAAACAAGCTCTAATAAACTGATAATATTGCTGTTTAAGAACACACTAAATGGTATTTTTCCCAGCCTGTTCGACGATAGGTTTTGGTTTCATACTTCTCATTGGATAGGCCAAGCATCAGTTAAAAGAATTCAGAGCAAGATTTGGTTTTCTCTACTTCAAGCCCCTACTGAAATGTTTAACACAGCCAAAAAAAACAACCTATTTCTTGAAGAAAAACGCTTAATTCTTACATAAACTTCAATAAGAAGTGAAATCTATTGGCATAATTCATTCTTGAAGTCCCATCAACAAAATCCTTGCTTATGGTTCTATGGCAAAGCAAGAGGAAGAGCTTTTGGAGCCCTCATCAGCTTAAACCTGCTTATCTCAACCTCCAATTCTGCCATGAGGTTTCAAAGGAAAATTAAGCTGGTTTATAAGCAAATGGGTGGCAGAGCAGAGGAAAGAACAGGGAACAAAACGCTGGTACAACTACATACCGTGTTTTACCTGGAAAGCACAAAGAAGTGTTTTAGTAAGACTAATAAAAACTGCCAAAGTTACCCAAATAAGGAAATAAAGAGTAAAAAGGGACTTAAAGATTAAATATAAAGACAATTATAGATCATATATTGTTAATTTTTTGAAGAGCACCATGTTATATGCTTGCTTTCACTGCATTGACCCTGAAGGATTAAATTCAAGGCTGATTTGAGACAGTTCTGGCAGGAGAACCATCTGAATTTGAGCAGCAGTGCTAATGTACATGGCAAATGTCTTTGCAACCTATCTGCTGCTTTGAACAGTGGAGAGCATGCAACGTTTTTAGAGAAAAGCATGAAACCTTCACAGCATTAACACCTGAGGCTTATAGTTGTTATAACCATGAGCAATATGGTTGCTATATTAATGCTGATATAGAAAGAGTATGAAACTTGTCTATGGAATTCCATCCCCATGTTGTTAAATAAATGAATTTTGTATCTAGTTTATTCTGGACTTCCTGAAGCTGAAATGATTATTTCAGGAATGAAGGAGGGAAAAGCCACTAAAGTTCAGTGCCTCTTTTCTTGTTTACTCTTGGTAGTAAGGATAGGGTTTATCCACAGCAGCTGCAATCAAAACCAAATCCAAGCCAAGCCACTTCAGGCTTCCCTCAGTTGTAAATCAATGTCTTCTTGAGACTGTTTGAAATGCAGAAAGGTTAAAAAAAAAGGGTATATCAGAAAATATGTTATCCCTACATTTAGTAGAGCTTAAGATGAGGAGCAACTTCCACAAACTCTTTGATCTATCTAAGCAACAGTGTAGAAAATGTATTTAAGTAGTGCCTTGGGCTAGAGACAAAGTTGACATCTAGTCTTTTGCAGAGAATTGTGTAAGTTAGATGTAATATGATTAAACAAAACACAACAGAACACAGATTTGGTTTAAAAGTCCCTGAAAATAAACAGAAACTAAGGCAAGCTCCTACACAGTAAGCAGGAAATGGTGGGATATTTTAAACACAACAGAAACATCCAAAAGCCGTTTGCCAAGGAAGTCTGATCCTTGACAGAGCAACAGAGCTGCATAAATCATGACTTACAAATCCTTCCACTAGGGGGTAAGACAGCCTCACGATCTGCAAGTGCCGCGGATTTGCAGTAACTGCTGGATGTAATCCAAGTGACTGTGGTCAGCACATTAGAGAGGGACACGGGCTGTAAACCTGAGAAAAGCACTTGTGATATTTAGGTAACAAAATGTACGTTGGGAAGGAAATTCAATTCTGCATAGGAGATAAAGCTGTGACAGCAGCCGATTGCTTAGGATTTACGTTTTAAAGACTTAAGAGTACAAAGTCATAAACAACAAGGGGTAAGAATCGGACATTAAAGCAGTGTGCTGCAAAGAATTGATTCGCAGTGCAGTGTAGTAGATCCGATGGGGGCATGAAGTGGTAAAAGTGGCTCCATAGAAGTCCCTCACTCTTCTGCTTCTTAACATTAATGTAAGTCAGCTTTGGAGCTTATCTCCAGAGATTTCACACCTTTCAAAGTGTGCCTCAGGGCCCGGGATTGCTCAGGTCAGCTTGAAGGACATAAAGCAGCGAGTAAGGACTCAGCCCTGGTTGTTTTGAACACAGCACTGGCCTGTCGCTATGCGATATTAACTTGGCTCCTGTGACAATACATTACTGATTGAAAAGCTGTAGAGGGAAATTCCTAAAAGCAATAAAATCCCCAAAAGCCTACTAGATGGGGAATGCGTTTCCTATGCCATTACTTTTTGCCACTGTAATCTCATCAACCAGCCCAGGGTAGGAGCGCAGGAACTAGCTGGAAATAAGAGGTCTGAATCCGCCCTCCAGAACTTCACATTTTCATTTATCTTTACACAGCAAAAGTGAAGAGCTCACAGCCTCGATACGTGAAAACAATATTTAACTCAAGCCATACAGGCCTTGAGTTAGCAGCCAGTTACATAAACAAGGAATAACCCCTGAGAAAGCTTTGATAAGGTGCTGTGTAACCCTGTACAATGTAATTCCCATTTAACTATAATGCATGGGAAAAGTTTTCCTACAGAAGTGACACCAAACCATGAAACAGATACATTCCCACCACCACCATCCCTCCTCTGAGGCATTTATTGGATTCTAGTGATCATTCAGCAAGCTGAATGTTTTCTGGCTGCTTCTATGTGCAAACACAGTTGTTTCAAAGCACAGTGTTGGCTGCTGCTTGTATCCAAGCAGGAAAACAGAGGCAGAGCTTGCAAAGCAGTAAATCCAAGTTCACAGATATGATTCTCATCACACTAGGCAGAAGTTTGGGAATTACATCTCACCTCTCCCCTTTGAGGGGATACCAGAGCATCTTTTTAAACATGCTTTGAAGCACAGCACTGGCAAAACAATGATACAGCACTTGCAGTCTACAGCCCACTTCTGAAGGCTTCGTGAAGGATCAAGAGGAGCAATTTTACTGACAGCCCTTCAGTGCCACCTAAGTTATGAAACCCTCGGAACATGTTACTACCTGCAAATCAATTGCATTGGGATTAGCATCCTTCTTCCTTGTGATTAGAAAACAGGAAGAAGCTCCACCACTTGGATATTGATGCTCACCAGAACTTGGCACCTCCCCCTTAAATTCACTTTTAAAAAGCAGCAGGGCAGCAAACTACTCCATACCACAACTAATAACCCATAGAAAACTGAAGCAGCACCCCCCCTGAACTTTAATGGAGCAAACCTGGATGAGTGAGTGATAGCACACAGGGCAGCTGTCACATTGAAAAAGCAACAACCCCATGTCCAATGCTCAGCTGTCTCCTGAGCAACATGAGATTTTGGAAACAACAGGTCAGCTAGTGAATCTGGGTGGAATTCTTCTGCTGCTGCACCATCTCTGTAAAGCATCTTTAGGATGGGGTGGCTGCCTGCCCTCCTCCTCACCTTCGCAGTTAGAGGAAAGCATGTTAGGTTTGGTTCACATGAAGAGTACATAAGGGCCCTCACAAAACTAAGTGCTTCCATAGCGAGAGACACGGTAGCTAGTGGCAAGTTAGAACCTGAACTGAACAAGAGCAAAACATGTCAGGTGTCACAAAGAGATGATCAAAATGGGATATTCAGACTGCTGGTCTGAGATGGATCCTGGCCATGCTGAGCTGGGCTATCCATCTCCTTTGATTCATGTGTTTCTGCCTTAGTCTAGGTTTGGCTCAGCATTTCCTGGGCTGGGCTGTGTCGCCTCTGTCCGTGGTACTTATCAATGAAACCTCCCCTCTGCCAGGGCCACACACAGAATCACAGAATCTGCATCCCAAATGAGCACATTCCCCAGGAAGAGACATGGGACCTTCACCAGTAGCTAGAATACAATGCCATTTGTCCATAGGGCCTACTTCACCTTAAATAGGAGCCACAAGAATGTTTAAGGCTTGTTTTCATTTGAAGAGAATCGATGCCAAAGGATGTAAGGTGATCGTGATTCCCTTAGAGCTTTTAAAGAACTGATTATTTTTTTCCTCATGAAATTGCATTCTACCATGCAATAGGTAACTCTCCCTCTGACCAACAGCTCTAACACATCACTTGAGTCATAAAAGGATTATCACAGGAACCTTGACCAACCACAAGAGTTCCCGTTAGTTCCTGCAGACCACGATTTAGTCATGGGTTGTGTGCTAAGCAAGTCATGCAAGCTGGCAGTATAGCTGAAGTCATCTGATCATAGAATCATTAAGGGTTAGGGCTGGAAGGGACCTTGAAACTTGCCCAGTTCCAACCCCCTGCCATGGGCAGGGACACCTTCCACTAGAGCAGCTCTAAGCCCCATCCAGCCTGGCCTTGAACACTGCCAGGGACGGGGGGCATACTGATACTGGTGGCATCTCCAGACCACGTGTATGCTTCAGAGATACACTCTCTCTGATATACATAAGCACGGTTTAGTTTTCTTCTTGTTGTTGTTTGTGTGTTACTGTTTGTTGGGTTTGGGGTTTAAGTAACTAAAAGTATACAACTGCTTTAAAAGGGTATGTCCATCAGTGTATGCATTTCCTCCCGCCCTCCAACCACAGGTACTACACTTCCTCCAATTTGTACCACTACCGCTTTCTTTTTTCCTCAGTCCCATTTTGTCCATTCACTAGTTGAACTAACAAATCTCTTGCTTCAAACAGTTACCAAGCAGCAAGAAGATAACCATCCCTAATGGCCTAATTTCACTGTAGTACCCTCCTTTGACAGAAAAGAGAAAGCACCAGGATTTTACATAGAATCACAGAATCAAATAGATTGGAAAAGACCCTTAAGCTCATCATATCCAACCAGTCCCCAGCACTGCCAAGGCCACCACTAACCCATGCCACTAGGGCCTTATCTACATGGCTTGTGAACACTTCCAGGGATGGTGATTCCATAATCTTGGTGCCATTCTGGCACGTGCCAGACACCACGGGCTGCAAGGCCTACCTATGCTTCAAAGCAGATCAAGTCAGGAGACAAGTTTAGTAGGCAAATCTGTGTGTTTTAGAAACTTCTTTGATCCAATGTGAACTTTCCCAGGAATTTAAAAGAAGTTTGCTACAATTATAGTCCTTCAAATTATGAAGATTTAAGTGATACTCATCACCCAAGATTCTCAAACACATCACCTACACAAGAAACTGGTTCCATGTTCAACAAAGGAACAACTAAGAGCAAAGAAACACTAAACAGCATGAATACCTCATCTAGAAGATGACAGCAGCAAAACCAACTTAGTATTACCATAGTTTTCTAGCACTGTAACAACCCCGTGTTGCTGATAATCCTTAACTATCCCTTTTACTAGTTCGGTAGAAATCTTCTCACTACTCTAATGGCACAAATGCACAATTAAGCTCTTTTAGGAAGGGTAAAAATCAAAATAGCTCCACTAAGAATAGAACTGAATGCCACATGCGAGCCAGGAACAAAATGTAATCATGGGACTTTAGAGGAACATTTAGGTCAGGCATCCTCAACTTGACTCATCACACTGAACAGCTTGAAACTGCGCAGCGACCAGACAGGGAATCACTTTGTTCATACAGATCAAAATGGTATAGCACTACCTAACAGGGCACAATAAAGACTTGCTTTTGGAGGTTGAAAGTAGTGCTGTCAACGTTTGCTGTCTGAATGGAACAAGCATTTTGTTCTCTTCCTGTTAAGATGCAAATAATCCTCTTGTTTTCTTTCAAAGGCAAGAGAAACATTCGGATCTGTTTGTTGACTTTCTACACACAGGAGAACAGTGAACTGAAAATCGACTCATGAATTATTTCCAATTAGTCATTTTCTTACAAAGTCTACTATTCACCACTTTGGGGCCTGTGGGAATGGGGAGGAGGGCTAAATATTATCATCTCATTTGCTCAACCCAACCTCGAGGTTAATATACTTGCTGAGAAGCAGAGTTCAGTGTATTCTCCAGAAGACTAACCATATGCTGGGCTGATCCCCAGAGCGTGAGCAGCAGTTGAGGGAGGGGATTCTCCCCCTCTGCTGCAGCCTGGGGAGCTCCCCCCCTCCAGTCCTGATCCAGCTCTGGGGCAGCAGCACAAGAGGGACGTGGAGCTGTTGGAGCGAGTGCAGAGGAGGCCACGGAGATGCTGCGAGGGCTGGAGCAGCTCTGCTCTGGAGCCAGGCTGAGAGAGGTGGCCTGGGTCAACCTGGAGAAGAGAAGGCTCCTGAAGGGGAGACCTTAGAGCAGCTCCAGTGCCTAAAGGGGCTGCAGGAAAGCTGGAGAGGGGCTTGGGACAAGGGCCTGTAGGGCCAGGCCAAGGGGAATGGCTTTAACCTGCCAGAGGGGAGACTGAGATGAGCTCTTAGGCAGAAGCTCTTCCCTGTGAGGGTGCTGAGGCGCTGGCACAGGGTGCCCAGAGAAGCTGTGGCTGCCCCATCCCTGGCAGTGTTCAAGGCCAGGTTGGACACAGGGGTTTGGAGCAAGCTGCTCTAGTGGAAGGGGTCCCTGCCCATGGCAGGGGCTGGAACTGCAAGAGCTTTAAGGTCCCTTCCAGCCCAAACCCTTCTACGATACTCCAGCCATATGATGAGCTCAGCATCTTTAACTCTAAATGTGTCAGCTTAAAGCCACGTTTTAAAGCTATAAAGAAATACAGGTTTAAAAAAGTAAAATGGTAGAATGCAATTTCATGGGGAAAAAAATAATCAATTCTTTAAAAGCTCTAAGGCCAACAAATGGTGTGTGGGTGTGTGCAAAGCAGCAACAGGCAACATGCAGGCACCTTAATAAAGGAGACCGTCAACAATACAAGCTGGTTCTTTCTTGGAAGCACTCAAGTAAATAAATGACTCCAGAGAATAAGAGCTTGGGTACTCATCTCCCTCCCTGGTGTAACTAACTGAATGAGCAAACAATAACTCATAACCATCAATAATTCACCTTCAGAAGTTCAGCAAAAGTACTTGCTAAGAAATAAGGCTTGATCAAAAGGAGGAAGACAGCCTAAATTCAAGATAAATGAGCTTCCTGGGATTCTAGTAAGTGGGAGAAGAAAAAAAATCAGGGCTAAATATACATAATATGAGAAATATTCAAAACTTCTGCCCTACAGTAGTACACAGATTTCAGCTTCTGAGCTGTGCACTGCAGGTCAGGGTATCTGCAAGAAGAAAATCATGCGTTTATACATAGAATGGTTGGGGTTGGAAAGGACCTTAAGATCACACATGCAGAAATACTGTTTGGAAAAGAAAAGAGCATTCTTCTCTACATCATTTGAAAGAAAAGGTGTAAAATCAGTTCTTGATGGTTCTGTTGCAACAGCTTTTGGTTGTTTTTAAAGGTTTCTGGTATACAGACCTATGCCTGGTGTCTATCGCTCTATGATGTGAACTGAACAGGACCAAATTCTTGCTCCCTTCTCCTCCCTTTTTTTGCCTCTCCCTGGTAGTCAGACTTGATGATCCTCAAGGTCTTCCCCAAACCACTTGATTCCATGGTTCTATGATAATATAGTACAAGAACAACAGGACAACAGGTCTCATCTTTCTATTCAGCTCTTGGCATGCAGAATAATCTCTGTCCCTCTACTCCAATTCTCTGAGCATCCAACCTGCCTTTCTGCATCTCAAACCAAGCAGCTTATTTCTATCTTACAGCATCTTTCACTTGGTGGAAAACTAGGAAAAAAAAAATGCTTTCTCCTTTCCTGGTTTAAAGAAAAGGACTTTTTCAGCCTTTTTCTATTTTTGCTCCTTGCTGCAGTTTTGAAGGGGATGGTTTTAGTTCTTATTTTGCTGTATTTTTTTCTACTGAGGTGCTGTGTGGTTTCACACATCAATTATTTCTAATGTGATGAAGATGGTGAGTGTCAAATGGCAGGACGGACAGAAGAGCTGGCATAAGTTTAACCTATATAGTGTGGAGTTTACTCGGATGTGGAAGGCTGGTTAAGGATGCCAACCTGACACCCCAAGCCACTGAAGCTGGCCTTTCACCTACTTAACAATATAGTTCTCATTTGTAGCATTTATCAACTAATATGTAGTTATTCTCTTACCCATCCCTGAGTCTTTCTTCGTGCCATCTGATATGATATCCACATGATCGCTGTCTACGTCGTAACTGAAGAAGTCATTCAAATAAGTCTTTGATCTCTGGCCACCAAATACATATAAGCAGCGATTTTTCTAGGAAGGAAAACCAAAGGATGTCTTCATAAAGTATGTTGGCCAACCGTGACCATTAAGAGAAGCATCAATGCAGCAGAGAGTAATAGATATATTCCTTCAGAGTTTAAAATCATGCCTTAGCTATCAGGTCTACCAGTATCTTTTACTGCCGTCTCCATGCAGATTCAGAGGGAACAATTATTCCCAGCAGTATCATTGTCAAACTCAATAAAAATCTAAGAATTCTTGGGTCTGGAGTCTTCAATTTATGATTTCTCAGTTTCAAGGGCTAAACTGTTAAGGGTCTTGCAAGTGCAATATAAAAAGTTTTCATGATCTGTATGAGCCCACAAACCTGGATCCAACAGCTGCAGCTCCACAGTGACTAGGCAGATTTTATAGTTAACTATTATAGCCCTGTCTGATCCAGCAACAGCTTCAGAACATTAAAAGAACAATTCATTTTTTAAGTTTAATATTAATCAATTACTAGTCTTCATGTCTAAAACCCCTTTGGTCATAACTTCACTGTTAAATAAATCCAAATAGGAATAAAAGATGGACTGTAAGAAAAATCATCCAGGTACCAGCACATTACTAAACTCAGAGCAGGCAAGCGGCAACCAGCAAGCCAAGAATAACAGGTTTATTACTTCTCTGAGGTTTGCCAAGTGGAAAGTCTCTAAGAGGCAGATTATTTTTCTTTCAAATGGCTGAGAAAACAGCAAGGGAACTGAACTTCCAGGACCTGTGCTTACAGAAACCTGTATTCTTACGTGTGCCACAGACACATAGTTGAAGAATCCTCAGGTACCCTGTGCAGAACTGTGTGTGGCAATACGTTTTTCACCAGATTTTAGACAGCCATGCAAGGCAAAAATCAAATTGAAGGCACTGAAAACATGGTATTCACTATAAAAATTCTGATCCTTCATTTGAAAGGGAAAGAGAAATAAACTCAGTAAATTGCTCAAACTGGGCAGGTCTGAATCGGTGGTATCAGTATACACTTAAATAGCACACTAATAACTTCAATTCTCTTCTTAACCCCTGAGTCAGAGTTTAATGTAAGCAAAACTCTACAAACTCCACTTATTACCACTTAGAAGCTCCGTGTAAATACAGTGCAGAACTGCCAGTGCACCATGTAGGCATTCCTACTTCATGCTAATCTCCTCTGTACTGTGCTATTCCCCTGAGAACACCTACGTGTAAAGGCACCCTAGAACACACAGGCCAGTAACCACCTTCCCTGACCACCTTCCCCCTGCAGTTCCGAACTGGAAAGGCAATGGAAGATGGGTTCTAATACCTAATGATAAATAAAATGCTACATACACACCCCACTGTCCCATCCCTCTGCCTTTCTATCGGCCTGTGGATGAAGTACCCACACAGGCAGCTGTGCCCAGCTGTTAACATCTGCTCAAGACAAGCAGCAGCAGCAAGGGGCTCAGCACAAGGGAACAGGAGGCCTGTGCATATCAATGCACACGCAGGAAGCCTCTGCACTAGACAGGTTTCCATTCTAGTAGCTATGTAGATTATCTCCTAGACCAGAGGCTTCTAAACTGCTCTGCCAACTTTAACAGAAAAGCTCAAACTGAACCATAGCCCTTGGGTCTATTTATAATCATTCTATTAAATCAACCATGTAAAATTCACCTCATTTTTTACTTGGAATTTTATTCCCTTCAAGTCCTGAAAGCTCCAAATCTTGAATTAATACCACCTGCACTTACCAAAGCAGCAACAAAATGTCAGCAAACATAGAATCAAGCCAGCCAACACACCGCTTGGGAGCTTAAAGAGCTTTAAACTTCCAAGGAAAATCAAACCCAGCTGTTCTCCTTCAAGTCAAGCATCATAAAGCCAAGTACGGTGTGGATACTTACAGAATGAAACAACATACAGTGACCTATTCGGGACTGGATATCCTCAGGTCCAGCATTACAGGAATCCTCTCTCAGAAGCTTCCATGTCTGACATTGGCAGTCAAAAGCAAACAACCCACTGAACTGTGGTTCACTGGCTCTGCTGTCATCCACGCTGCCATTGCAGGTCAGGATTCTGCCTCCAAAGGTATAGATCATGTGTTTTTCAGAATCCATACACATCTGGGAGAAAGAGAGAAGTAGTTTTAAGCCAGCACATTCAGACTTAAATACTAAGATTAAACATCCCTCCCCTGCAAGTGATACTTGCTAAGTTAGAGGGTACTTCGCAAAGCTCCTGAGCCTCTAACAAAGAGAACACGCATCTTCACAGCTGATGTGAAAACTAGTTCAAAATGGGTCTAATTCCAACTTACTAAATAAGAAAAAATATAATAAGCAAAAGAAGGGAGAAAGAAATAAAACACTAAACGTAACCTTCATCACCTAAAACCCTTGCCTTTACCTGCTGATGTAAAGGAAGGATATTTTAGAGGCTTTCAACAGGATCCGTAACCAATTCTGCCAGCAAGTTAATAGAATGGCACCTTTGACAATAGCTATGCAAGGGTAAAAACCAAAAATCACTGCTAATGCACTGACCTCAACTCCATCAACCCAAAAATCGGCCTGTGATGTGTTACTCAGATTCCATCCTAAGCACACATTGACTGCTACCCCCACTGCTTCAACACAAAGCAGGAGTATAACCTGGCCAAGGATTTTTGACGAGACTGCAGCAGGAAGATGTTTATCCCCAAAACCTGAATTCAGGTTATGGCAGACAAGAGATACACTGCAGTACAAATCAAACAGCAATCTTCTTGACTCCAGGTGATGTTTTCAGCCGCGGTGCAAGGCAGAGGGTTACAAAACACCATGGGGAAGGAAAAGAAAGAAACAGAACACCAGAAAACAAGGCAAGATTACAGTCAGGCAGAGATGCTACTCAGAAAAGCCTCCAGAAAAGGCTTCTAGGGCAGCACGTGTTTTGAAGGTTAAACAAAAAGCGCTATCGCAGGAGGTAGTGAGGGAGAGGAAGAGCTGCAGACTGATAAAGAATTCAGGGAGAACATTCTTTCCAAAGAAACAGCAGGGGGAAAAAGAAACCATTTCAGAGGCAACAAACAAGGTACCCAGAGTAGCCTTGCCAGCTGACAATTTACTTCTGCCTTTACCCCAACACCTGGGAGACTGGTATCTGTTGTTAATAGGACAGAAAAGACTGATTGGCTTTTGTTCTGCAGACAAGACACATCCTAAATGTTCGGTGTCAGCAGAAACTCATATTGTGCTGGCGAACATCAGCTTTGGTTACAAAACAGCTAGTCCCAATAAAAGCAGTTCTGGGGCTGCTTTAAGAATCAGCACTGCTGTGCTGTTTCTTGGCCATGCTTTGTAAAAACCAAATAAGGGTAAAATACCTTTTTCAAGTGCGCAAAAGCCACTGAACACACAAGTAAAGGGGTATTTGGTTTGAATACGTGGACAGGTATGGCCTTTTAAAGGTTAGGAGCCACTACTCGAAGGTATTTAAGCCCAAATAAAGCAAGAACATATTATAAAGTGTGAAAGATAAGCAATGTTGGAAGAATCCTGATCCTGTTGGCCTCATTTCAGCAGCTTGCTCATAGCTTTCTTCTGAAGGTATCATACACAGCGTTGCAAGTTGTTCTTCAGTGCCCTCTGAGTAGGCAGATCTGCAAACCCAGCTCAACCACTGATTAAAACCAGATGAACTGTGCTTTGAGCTTTAATAAAATGTGTCTTAATAAAATAAATTTGTTTGCAAAGGTTTTTATGATCCTTCTGATGTGATTTGATTAGAACACCAGTCAGTGGCATGAGACAACGGCGCTATTAAGATTTAACTGAGTGCAGACCACAGCTTTCCTTATCACTCTCTTACCTGGTGGAGCACTTCTAAATCACAGGATACTACAATAAAAACTGATTCATGAACACTGAGAACTTGCAATAGGAGTATCAGTGTAACTGACCTGATGATCAAACACCAGCTTTGGGCCTCCATCCGCTGCGGTGTCTTCACTCAGCAGCATCCATGTGTTGGTGTCAATGTCATAGCGGTAGAAGTCACTCTTCAGAGATTTGCTGTTCCTCACAGAGGAATCCAGGTAACGTCCCAGCGTGTAGATCTGCCTTCGTTGAATGTCAATGCACATCTTGTGACAGGATCTGGCACTGGGACCACTCTAACAGAGAAAACAACCACAAAAATAGAGTTAGGTATCTAGTATCGTTCCAGGTAGGTCATTGCACACTCACTACGGGCAAGGAAGCACTATCAGCTATTGGAAAGCCTTTGAGAAGTCAAGGAAATCTCCTTGCAATCAAAAAACAGGATTAATCATAGAACGGTTTGGGGTGGAAATGACTTTAAGATCATCCAGTTCCAAGCCCCCTGCCATGGGCAGGGATGCTTCACTAGACCATGTCTCCCAAGTCTCTTTGGGCAACCTGTTCCAGTGCCTCACCACCCTTACAGTAAATATGTATGTATCTATATAATTGGACATCCCATAAAACTTCTTTGTCCTTTAGAAAGACACCAGCAACAACCTTTACGTTATTTTTTACAATTTCAGACTCGAAGCCTGTGAGATTCCTCAGGAAACAGCCTGTTGCCTCCAGAAGTGATCCTCAGAGGCATGCGAAAGCTACTTGATCTTTTAAAATAACACAGGTTGATGCACATGAGAGGCAAATTAAGATGTCAGTCTATAAATAACCACACAGGAAGAAGATTAATAAGTGCTCTATTACAAGAAGCTCTGTCTTATTAATAGGCTGTTTTCTAACAGCTCATAAGCAGACACTCCCACAAGCAATCATAGCCCATAATGGGTGTCTGAAGGTAACAAAAGCACCCCCTGTCCTTCCCAAATAGATAAGGCCATTCCAGACACAAGATGCAAGAAAGTTTCCCATGGTAAACAGAAATGCCATGAGTTATGATCTTCAAGAGAAACACAGAGAGGCCCTGTATAGTTATGTGCTCATCCACCCATTCAGGATTGCTCAAGTTCAATTATGGGCTGATTTAGTCAATGATATTAAGATCATTGACGTGGTGCTGGGCAGCAACCTTGATGCTTCCCAAATCTGGTTTTATACACGCATCTTGAAGAACAGGAGTGATATTCCTGTTGTCCTGGTTTCAAACCACAACAGCTGTACTCCAAAATTCCAGAAATCGAGATGTGCAAAGGCAAAATACGACACTGCAAAATGTCTTTGCAAAACATCAGACAAACAAGAGAAGAAAAAAATGGCAACTATGTCTTAGAGATGAATTCTATAGTTTAACATAGAATGGTTGGGGTTGAAGGGACCTCAAACGTCACCCACTTCCAACCCCCTGCCATGGGCAGGGACCCCTTCCACTAGAGCAACTTGCTCCAAGCCCCTGTGTCCAACCTGCCCTTGAACACTGCCAGGGATGGGGCAGCCACAGCTTCTCTGGGCACCCTGTGCCAGCGCCTCAGCACCCTCACAGGGAAGAACTCCTGACAAAAGCTATTTGGCCTTAGTTTGTGTAGTTTTGGTACTTCATAAATGAGAATGGCAGAACAAGGCTGGCTAACTCACTTCCAGGGGTTGGGAACCAACATGAAAACTGGTTGCAAGTGACTAAGAACAGCCAGACGCACAGAAGACTGAAGTATGAAAGACGAAACACAAGCCTATTAATGTGTAGAGAAAAGACTTTAGTATTAATGCTACAGAATTCAATTTCTTCAATAAACATCTGTTACAGGGAACTGTTTACAGCAACAAATGACAATCTGAAGAGGTGAACTGTTCCTAGTTTGTAAATAGGAAGCATTATGTGGATTACAGGTTATTATAAGCAGTTATTTGACAGTAATTAAGATCATTTTCTTTTCTGAAAAAACACTGATAGAAGTGAAATATTAGCATAAAATCCTGGAATGCAGCAGAAGTTCATTCACTGCCTTTGGTTGCATGGAGGCCAGCAACATACTCTGCTTTGTTCCTAGTAAAAACAAGATAGCATCTTAGGATCACAGACTCAACCAGGTTGGAAAAGCCCTTTAAGTTCATCCAGTCCAACCTTACCCCAGCACTGCCAAGGCCACCACTGCCCCATGGCACTGAGTCCTCGTCTCCACGCTGTGTGAACACTTGCAGGGACGGTGACTGCAGCCCTGCCCTGGACAGCCTGTTCCAATGCCTGAGCATCCTTTGGGGAAGGAATTGTTCCTCAGCTCCAGCTAAACCTGCCCTGGGGCGGCTTGAGGCCGTTTCCTCCTGTCCTACCATACTGTACCTTCCAGAGGACCCTGTTCCAAACACCCAGCGTAGCTTCTTTGCCTGAAAAGTACTGATTTTGTGAATACACAAAGCTTGCCCTGATTCACAGGACAGTAACCCCAGCAGACAAAGCCCACCTCCAGTCACACAGCTGGGACACTTCAGGATTATGCCATTGTTCCTTTGCCAAAGAGCACATATTTGCCTTGGCTCAGCTGCCTTGCAGATGAAACGTTCGGAACTACCTGTGCTTTCTGACTCTCCCCTCTTTGCAAAGGTCACAGCAGGTTTTGAATTGAACCTATTGATTTAAGTATCTTTCCTCACTCCCTCAAGGCCAGGAGGGGGCTTGGAGCAACCTGGTCTAGTGAATGGTGTCCCTGCCCCTGGCAGGGGCTTGGAACTGGAGGCTTGGCATAGTTACATAAAATAACCCCAGCAATGAAGCCTCCAGTGCATATGATCAGGACATGAGTGAAAACCTTCTTCCCCAAAGGGTGCTCAGGCATTGGAACAGGCTGCCCAGGGCAGGGCTGCAGTCACCGTCCCTGCAAGTGTTCACACAGCGTGGAGACGAGGCCTCAGTGCCATGGGGCAGTGGTGGCCTTGGCAGTGCTGGGGTAAGGTTGGACTGGATGAGCTTGAAGGGCTTTCCCAACCCAGGTGATTCTGTGATTCTATGAACTGCATCCTCAACTGAAGTGTGTCTGGGGATAGACATGAGGCTGAGACACTTCACACCTAGAAGACCAGTTTCAAGCCACTGGCATCACCCAGCACAGCTGCTATGTAAAGTACACAACATACCACTTTCAACTCCTAGAACTATGTCAAAATGAGAGAACTCAGGAAAACTACCTTTTCTTATGTGCTGGTCACATCTCACAGGAATATTTGCCTTTTTAAAAAGGGCTATTAAAGGCTTTAAATTTGATCATTTCACCTATATAGGCACAGAAGTTTTATCACATCCAAGTTCCCTTCAGAACTTCAACTTTACCAACTTGCAGAGCCTGTCACAGCATGAACCATCTCTTGTAGTAAAGAAAGCTCCATCCAATTCATAACCTTTCCTCAAAGAAAACTGGAGTTACTCCTGCATCGCACTTACAAGATCATATAGAACCTGCCAACATTTATCACTAACTCCCTTAAACAGGGGTACACATTGGTTTGGTATTTGAGACAGAAGACAAGAAAGGCTTAAGTTTGTGTTCACTTGATTTGACCATGGAAGCCCTTGTAGTACGCATTCACTTCAAAGGAGGACACAAAGTCCATGTTTGGAGACAGGTATGGGCAGACACTGAGAACGAGTAGAACACTTCAAGGCACATGTGGTTAAGTGAATCAGGAGCCTGGGGGTGGTTGTGAATGTTCACCCAAAGACGTGTACTTCATGTGGTTACAACAGGAAGCCTGTTCACCCAAGGAACACACTGCCACAGCTTGCCATGGGGAAAGTGACCCACCAAATTCAAACAGAAGGAGTCTGATTCCAGAAGCGTTCAAAGAAGTTGACCCCTTATAAGCAACAAGTGAGAAAAACCAACCATGACAATCACAGAGGCAGAGGATGGAAGGGCCCTCAAGGATCACCTGGTGCAACCTTTCTAGGCAAAGCATGGCCTAGATTCAGACAGCCCAGCTGAATCTTAAGTGTCCAGCACTGGGGAATGCACAACTTCCACTGGGAGATTATTTCACCGGCTGATTGTTCTCATAGAATCATAGAATAGTTAGGGTTGGAAAGGACCTTAAGATCATCTAGTTCCAACCCCCTGACATGGGTATTAGGGGAACGGTGACTACAGTGCCTGCTTCAGCTCCTCCTTGGGCAGTTCCATTCGTCACAGCCCCATGAGCTCAGGAATATCCACGGCGGTCACCAACGTGAGCCCAGTGCATCTGCAGCACATCAGGGAGCAAACGGCAGTTGCTCTCAAGCGTCTCAAGGAGCTTGAGGAGCAAGTCAAGACCATTCCTGTGCTGCAGGTCAAAATTTCAGTGTTACAGGAAGAGAAGAGGCACATGATGGCTGAACTCAAAAACCACAGGAAAGCCACTCAGAATGACACATACGGTTTCAGAAAGCGGTCCTACAGTGCAGGAAATGCAGAGCAGTGGGAACACATGTCTCAGGTGAGAAGAGGTGGAGAACTGTATATAGATTGTGAGGAAGAGGTGGAGAGGAACACCTCACACTAAACCATATCACTCAAGGCCTCATCCAGCCTGGTCTTGAACACTGCCAGGGATGGAGCATTCACAACCTCCCTGGGCAACCCATTCCAGTGCCTCACCGCCCTCACAGGAAAGAATTTCCTTCTTATATCCAACCTAAACTTCCCCTGTTTCAGTTTTAACCCGTTACCCCTTGTCCTATCACTACAGTCCCTAATGAAGAGTCCCTCCCCAGCATCCCTAGAGGCCCCCTTCAGATACTGGAAGGCTGCTCTAAGGTCTCCACGCAGCTTCTCTTCTCCAGGCTGAACAGCCCCAACTTCCTCAGCCTGTCTTCATACAGGAGGTGCTCCAGTCCCCTGATCATCCTTGTGGCCTCCTCTGGACTTGTTCCAACAGCTCCATGTCCTTTTTATGTTGAGGACACCAGAACTGCACACAATGCTCCAGGTGAGGTCTCACGAGAGCAGAGCAGAGGGGCAGGATCACCTCCTTCGACCTGCTGGTCACGCTCCTTTGGATGCAGCCCAGGATACGGTTGCTTTCTGGGCTGCGAGCGCACACTGAAGCCGGCTCATGTTCATTTTCTCATCCACCAGCACCCCGAAGTCCTTCTCCTTGGGCTGCTCTGAATCTCTTCTCTGCCCAACCTGTAGCTGTGCCTGGGATTGCTCCGACCCAGGTGTAGGACCTTGCCCTTGTCATGGTTCTCAATGCGAAAAACTTTCTTCAT